ATCTACATTCACTTCCAATTTCGGTAATCTATCATTCACAGTTTCAGACACATCTTGAAATCTGAAGATGACATTCATGTGTACAACCTACCTCTCGTAGTTCTCACCTTTGAAAATCAGTAGATTCACTGGAAATTGCGTTGATGTTGTATTACCGTTTGACATTACAGGTTCTATCTGAATTGCAACCTGAGCTTTTTGATACCAAGTTGTTAGAATAATTAGAGTTTTTAAGAAAGATGAGGAAGAAGAATATAATAGAGAAAAGAGAAAAAACTATAAATAGATTTGTGAAACTGCATTACTAAAGATGTTAAGTGTTTTTTATACTATACAAAGTCATGCATATTTATAGGCAATCAAATTCCAAGCCCAAAACATACAACCTAAACCAAAAATATGCAAAGTTATATTTTGACTACAACACAATAACTATATGTTGTATTTAACAGAATACAACTGACTTTTACTATTTTGACTAGATCGAACACATTTATATCAAATAAAATATATTCTACAAAACTATGAATTACAACTTCTAACATTTTATAATTGTTTATGGAGCTAGTGTTTACATGTCTATAGTTGACCTTGGATCCTACCAAAATGAAGGAGATTTTAACTTGCCACCCCTCCCCCAAATTATACTTGGCACCCCATGCTTTCAAATTGTCGAAACTAACCTTGATTGAAAATTGAATGAAATTTCCGTTCAAAATTTCTTGTAGGAAAAAACAAAATTTCTGAAATTTTGAAATTTCCGGTAAGTTACAATTAATTATGGAAATTTGAAATTTACCATTTAATATCAGAAATTTCAACCAAGGTGAAATTTCAAGTAGTTTTATTTGTTTGAATTTTTAAATGCTCAGGATTTTGCCGACAGTTTTGTATGGTTGTGATTGCACTGACATTTTTGTATGATTTTGAGTAAATGCAAAGTTGTATAAATAGGGGAGTCACCTATTGTTTGATAAAAACATCTCAAAAAATGACTCTTTCTTAATTTAGATTAAGGCATAAGTGTACGTCAACAAAGTTTCACCTCTCGTAGAGTTCCGGCTTCCAGATGACACCACATTTATGGCCGGCCTGCATCCAAGTTGAATTAATTGTTGCGTGATACCGAAAACAGAAAGGTGAGAAAGATCAAGTTTCGTGCAGATTGAATTGATATTGACAGGAGGGTGAAATACAACCTTATTAAGTTGAAGACCGATGAAGATGTGAAGGATATGTGGAGATTATTTTGCCGTAGGTTAACAGAGGGGTCGACCGAGTTAGATGCTAAAATTTAAAGGTCTGTTGACGACATAATTAAAATGATGAAATGTCCATAATCATTTGTTAGTGTCTATGTTTTCTTATTTGTTATCGTATTTTTAAGTTATGTTTAAGTTATGTAATCCAATTTTCAAATGTTAGTTTATGTTGATGTTGCATCAATCGGGGATCAAAAATATCATCTAATAAAAAGTTATGATGAAGATGTGTGAGTAATATATAAATAATACAAATATTAAAAAGATGTCTAAATAGGCCCCCTATAGGCTATGTGTGCAACCCGAGATAATCCAGTATAAACCTCGCCATCTGGGTTTACTAAACCCATAATGTTATCGATAATAATTGGAATCATCTAGAGGCGTTGTTGGTCATTGGCATCAACTATAGGAGGCAACGGCAACACGTCATCGACAAGTACCATAACATTAGAAGACCCATCATCACCAGTATCCTCAACAGGTGGGATGGTGCGAGAGTGTAATATAAGGAGGTACCACTCTATGTAATTATCCTCATACTTCGAGGTGTGTTGAATCGTAACTGCTCGATCTCTAATGGCACGACTAGAGTTGACGAAGCTAGTCTAAAAGCATCAATAAATGCCCACATATGCTATAATTAGAACTGGTTGTGGGAAACTCTAAACATAACCATATTGTCGCATACACCTCTCTGGAAATTGTCTAGCAACCATGGGCTCCCACCGCATATAATCTGAATATAATGAATACTCATCAAACTCGCAGTGTACTTTATGATCAGTGTATAGTATCCATATGGAATCATCTACACTCAACGCATCGAGCCTCATCCTGGACTCAATAACACCGCCAAGATGTGATTCATACCCTTTCATCTCCTTTCCTGTGGGGGCCCCGCTGGGAAATGTTGCACCCTCTTGTCACAGATGGTGGAGAAAATGCTCGTATATCCATCACTGATATCAAAACACAATCACAACAAATAAGAAATAAGAAATGTTATTCATAACAATTAAATAAGAAATCAACAACAAATAATAATTTCAAGTATACCTATAACATACTCAAATAACCAGTAAACAACTTGATCTCAAATATTGTCGCCACTTCAAGTGTTGTATACAGAATAACCAATGCAACACATCCCTAATCCCAACTGGTAACCTTGAAGCCAGTGAACAAGCACACATATCAGGTGTCAACATTTGTCGGCAAAAAAGTATGTGCTACTAGATGTAGCATGTACACCCTAGCAGCAACCTCATAACTCTCAGTCGTAACACGCTCGTCATACATATCGTGAAGCCAAGACATACGAAGGTGAACACCCCTGTTGAAGCCAAACTCTTTCTCCACAACCTCCTAAAAACTCTCGAATCTCATGCAGCAGCCATATATGCAAGCGGCATGTTAAGGACATGAGTAGTCCAAAATATGTCGCCGATGGGGAGATGGAACAATGAGGAGACATTATCCAGAATAAAATTCATCTCCCCAAAAGGAAGATGAAATGAAGATGTTTTTTGTGCCATCTCTCAACAACTGCAGTAAGTAGTGGAGCACCGAGCACGGTGAAGGAGCAGTGTGCAAAATAAATGAGCTCAAACTCTCGTACAATCTGATTCACCTTCTCAGGCATCAGAATATTCGATTAGTTCTTCAGCTTTAACTCGTGCGATGTTGTCACATTCAATGGGATATAATCCTATAACAAACAAATTTTAAAAGATTGCAATTTGATTTCATGGCACAATAATAAACAAATTAAAGTTAAACATAAAAGACATATACTTTTCCCTACCATAGTCGTAAAACCACATGGTCAACATATTCAGTAAGCACCGAACGGTCAATGGATCCTCCAAGGAATCCTCCATCAATATGTACACAAGAATCGGTCAAATGAGTTGTAACCTCTGTGTCAGAAGTAACAAATGGGATCAGATAAGCAACAACAACATCTGGCTGAACCACCTGAGCAACCACCTCATCAACATCCACCTCATCAACATCCACCTCCCCAGCAACCTCCTCAACAACCACCGCATCTACAACAACAACATTTAGGTCGACCACCTCATTTATGGGTTGCTCAACTGATCGTACCGATCGACGTCAAGTACTATGAGGTGCACGAAAATGACCTTACTTAATCAACCGTTTCTGGTGTGTCAACTGGTTGGAACCACTCGTCCAGTCTGTATCTGGGAAGAATCAACCTCAGTAGCCCTAGCTTGGTCTGTCGCTCTGTCTGCAATAGTGTCGTCTCTGCCTCAGTATTTCACTACAAAAGAAGGGGAAAATAAATAAAAAATTATTAACTATCAGAAATTTCAGAATTTCTAATAAAAAAACAAAATATTTATAACCGTCGGAAAATTTTAAAATTTTTAATAAAAAATATAGTTTTTATAACAATAGAAAATTTCAAAATTTTCGGTAAAAAACAAAGATTTTATAACTACCAAAAATTCTGAAATTTCCATGAGATTTTGTTCAAGAAAATTTAAAATTTTCTGTTAAAATATTTTCACTAATATCAAAATTTTTAAAATTTCTGATACAAAATTTTAAAAATTTAATAATTAAGGTAAAAAAACGTACTATTTTAAATATTTTAGTAGAAAAAATAAAATTTTCGATATCATCTCAAAAAAGTCGAATTCATACTTGAATCTTATAAATTTCGAAAATAAATTGAAAATATTTACAAGGACAATATTGTCTTTTCATTCACAATAGATAGGGTGTCGGATTCAAATAAGAATGACAAGTTAAATGTTCAAAATGAAGTCCAACTTGGTTCCGAAAATATAGAAAACTACTTTTGTTATATAGAGAAAAAACAATACGTCCTTTTGTAGTAAATTAAAAATTTGTTATAGCAAAATTGCAACGAAGTAGAAATTTGTGGTACCACGTGTAGCACAATCATGGAATGATTTGAATCGTATGAAAATTGGTTCTGTATGTTGTGATATTGGTTGGATTCATTCTATCTTAGTTGGTAGAGGACTAGAGGTAGATATTTTGGACAACCTTACAACCTTATAAAAACCATTGATTAAAGAATGAGTATTTGGATTAAAATAGATTAGTGATTTTGGTGGTTATAATTCATTATTTCCTCAAATTTTTGTTATAAACCTTTTATTAAACAATTATGTAATTTATATATAGTTTAAATATATTTTTATTCAATTAATTTTAATTTTTTTATTGATAGAAAATGAATAAAATATCAAAGATTAAAAATAATTGACGCCTTTTGTCTAAAAAATAAAAGACACGAATTATATTTTTTTAGTCAAAATATAAAATATTATAAATACACATTTATTTACATAAAATACTTGTTTTGATTTTTTAAGCAATGTGTGGGTGACGCCACGTATATAAATAATTTAAGTTGTTGTGTGGTAGTCCAATAATTTAAATAATTTATGGTGTTTAATTATGCAGCTAAGTTACCGTACAAGTAGCACACATCACAGCCACATATTTAAAACAAATAAAAATACTATAACCTACGGTTGAATTGAGTGAGATTAATGAGTGGATCATAGATGAGTTACATAATTATACAGTGCTATATAATCTCATGAGATTAATTCAACATTACTCTACACAAACACCTTACTCTTTGATCCAAGAAAAAAAGTTACATTTCTATTAGAATCATTCATTTTATTTTGTCCTTATTTAAGTTTTGAAATCAAGAATTGTACTAAGATGAAGTGCAAAGCTTGTGAACTTTGCAATCAACAAGCTTCTTTCTATTGCCTCTCTGATTCAGCTTTTCTCTGCGGGAACTGCGACTACGCCGTTCACCGTGTTAACTTCCTCGTCGCTCGCCATCATCGACATATCCTCTGCTCCAAATGCGAAGCTTTCACCGGAATTCACATTACCGGCACCGAACTCCACCGCTTCCCGTCAACGTGCCGCTCTTGCTCTCCGGAAAATCATTCCGATGATACCGATTCTCAGTGTTCTTCTTCAGAGTCCTGCGTTACGGCACCAAAGAGGACTATAACTCAGAGGATGAAGACTAGTTCGAGTTTGAGTTCTGTTACCGGCGATGGATCTCAGATCGGGACTAAAAGTGTTGGATCGGCGGCGGAGGAGCTTTTTGTGAAATGGAGCAGAGAGTTAGCGTTAGGATTTGCGGTGAACGGGAATCGCGTGGCGGTGGAGGCTTTGCGCGTGTGTTTGAGAAAGTGGAAGTTACTTCCGTTGAAAGTGAGTGCTGCGGCGTCGTTTTGGTTGGGGCTAAGATTGTGTAGGGACAGTTGTTTTGCCACGTTTCAGAATCTGATTCGGTTGGAGAAAATATCAGGAGTGCCAGCTAAGCTGATTTTGGCTGCACATGCCAAGCTCGCACGTGTCTTCATGCATCAAATTGAACGGCAAGAAGGATCTGATGAGTGCTGAGTGAGACTTTAAAATTCATTTTTATGTATCCTAGTTAGTTGCTCTCAAAGAAAAAATAAATGTATGCTATAGTTAGTGTATCATTTTTTTTATATAATATCCTAGAGAGTTTAATACTTTTATATTATATAGAAAATATGACAAGGTTACATGTAAAAAAAAACTTTATTTAACGAAATTTATCTTTGTTTAATGGTGAGCAGATCCTTTTCTGGAAAAAAAATATACATTTTGAACTATGAATTGTGGTGTTTGTTACTCCATTAATTTGGTAGCGAGCATGCACCAACCAGAATTGATGTTCCATTACTAACATACTAACTATGGGTTTATGAGCACCAATTTTATAACAACACGTCACTTATATATTTTTTTTTCTTTGGTTTGGTCCCAACTTCGACCCTCAATTTCTATAGTAGTAGAAATTAATAAATGAAAGACTCAATCAAAGAGAAGTTTAGCTACCACAAATAGAGTTGGGTTGGTATATGGTGTTCAGTCATATAATAATGGATGTAGATGTGTGGTCTAAAATATGTTTCTACTAAGTGATGTCTTAGAAAGGTCCATGTATGAATAGCTAAATAGCACTTTATTGCGGTGGTTGTTGGAAATTTCTAAAAGAATCATTTTCATGGTGTGAGTGAGAGAGATGTGTTTTTTTTTTGTGTGTGTATTGAGATTCTCTCTCCCAATGCTGTTATGTTTTAAGCCACATGTTTCATTTCATTTTAATTTTTAAATCAGCAAGTTAGTTTAGTTGTCATGTCTCATTCTTAATCATAATTGTTCCTCTTTAATTATTCATTTAATAATTCATGGATATAAATTTCTACGTTATTTGGGTTAACATGACACATGACAAGAATTGTGGATTGTACAGTTAAAAAACTACTTCAGGTGTCCTTAATAACAAACACCCATTGAAAAAAATTGCTTTTAAATATACATTTATTTTTAAATTATTTACTTATTTTATTTTTAAAAATAACCCTATTTGACATTAATAATTTGCTTTAAACAAAATTAAGTCAACATTGAGTATATACATTCTTTCGGGTCAGTCTAACAACTAAATAAGACCGGTCTTATTCAAGTGGGTCAGTAAAAAACATCTTCAGAATGAAACATAAACATAGAGACCTTTGTCAAAATGATGTGCATCACATTTGGTCTACTTCTTCATTATCAATTTTAGATCTAATTAGGTGGTTCCATGCGTTTCATGCCTAACCAAGTGGGGGAGCACTTTTAATCCTCTATTGTATATAAACTACATGAAACACTATAATAAGTATTATTTTGACCATATTGACTTTGACGTTGTAGTGATGACCTTTCATGTACACCTCCATTCCACCACATCAAAGACTCTTCCACCACACTAGAAGATATATATCTTTATATCTCCAATCTTTGGTTCCACACTAGAATAATAACACCGTTTGTGGGAACCGACTTATGATTTCTACGAATTTCCACATCAAGTTTATCAAATCATTTTCACCACGTCATTTAATCCACAATTTCGTTAGTCAACAATGGTAGCCTCTAATATTGCTACTGAAAACAACACTTCAAATTTCGATCTTAGTCTTGCCACTGAACCCTGTCATTTTTTCGATCTTTGGAGGAACATCTAGCTTACCTTCAGAATCTTTCTGAAGCGGAGAAGATGGAGTTTTTCTCTGAAGACACCTTTTACACCTACCATGCGACTTTTTTTATTCTCCCTAGTTGCAGCTGGTCGAGGGGACATTCTGACCATGGGTAATCCATCCAAAGAAAGAGATACCTGAAACGGGAAGTGTGAAGCTATGGAACATGAATGGTCTAAGCTTAAGGAGGATATAACGGTCGTTAAAGAGAAAGATAGTCGTGTTGAGGCTCTTTAGGAGGAGGCAAAAATTCATGTCTTCCCTTCTTCTTTAGCTGCCAGGATCCCTGAACTTGAGTCCTCTTTGGAGATGAAGAAGAAGTATCGAACATACATAACAACTGTTGCAACGGAGATGAAGTCACATTCCGACGAGGCTTTGAAATATCTAAAATGGGAAATGCATTTCTACATGGTGAATTACTATAAGAGGTGTATATGATGCATCAACTAGGATTTAATGTTAGTGGTGCTTCTCACCTGGTTTGTCGGATTCGTCGATCTCTTTATGGCTCGAAATAATCTTTTGTGCTTAGTTTTACAAGTTTAGAACTCTCCTTTAAGAGCATGGCATGACGAGACGTGAAGTTGATTACTCTGTCTTCTTTTTGCATTCTTCACCATCCGCTTACCTCTACTTGTTGGTATATGTCGATGACGTTATCACCACTAGTAATGATAAGGCTGACATTCACCATTTAAAACGCCATTCGTCTCTCCATTTCTAGACTAAAGATTTAGGGTCACTAAAATATATTTGGGGATTTAAGTTGCTCAACTCAAAATTTGTGTGGCTATTACTCAATCAATATATGCTTTTGATATACTTTAAGAAATTGGTTTGCTTGATTGTCGACTTAGTGACACTCCTATGGATCCTAACATCACACTAATACAAGGTCAAGGAGAGCCATTAAAAGACCCTGGTAGATATCAACATCTAGTTGGAAAAAATAATTACCTCGTAATGACTATACAAGACATTATATTTGTTGTTAATATGGTTAAGAAACTTATAAATGCTTCATGTGATGATCATTAGAGCATTGTGATTCACATTCTTAAGTATATAAATAATGCATAGGGTAAAGGATTACTTTATGAAAACAAGGGCAACACCCAAGTCGTGGGTTATTCTGATGTTGATTGGGCAGGCTCACCGTCAGACATAAGGTCCACTTAAAGGTATTGTATTTTCATCAGAGGAAATTTAATCTCATTTCGGAGAAAGAAACTAACATAGTTGCAAGGTCTAATGTAGAAGAAAAATATCGTGATATGGGAACAACAACATGTGAACTCACATGTCAAAAACAATTATTCGATTAACTCAAATTAAGAGACATCAAGGAAATGAAACTAATTTGTGACAACAAGTTGCACCTCATATATCCTCAAATCCGTTTTTTCATGAACGAACTAAGCACATAAAGATTGACTGCCGCTTTGTAAAAAATAAGGTTCTTTCAGAAGAAATTATAATTGATTTTGTTGGTTCAAATGATCAATTGACTGACATATTCACTAAATCCCTTAAAGGACCTCAGGTTCAATCTACTTGTAACAAGCCTAGTGCATATGAAACGTATCCTCCAACTTGGGAGAAGTTTTAGAATAAATTATGAGTATATATATTCTAGAGTGAATGCTAGTATTTTAAAACAAAAGAACTTCATAGGTTAGTTATTATTCATTAAGCTTTAATATATTTATCGTAACACGATTATAAATACATGTAGTGCCATCTAACTTAAAACACATAATTTGTAGAATTCTATAGTTCTATTTGTTGATTCTTAAGGTAAGCTTGTTGAAAACTCTGTTTGTCGTTAGAAAGTTTGTGTGTTTATCTTATAAATGCTCAAGGTTGTTTATATTATTGAAAATTTTAAACAAAAATTCTTAAAGACATAATGTTCGTAGTTGTTTTTAGCAAATAATCACGAGTTTATTTCGCTTGTGAGATTACCTTGAAATTTTTTGGAAGCAATCTGTGCAAAATAAATGTATGAGGAAACGCGTTTGTGAATTGAATGTAAATGTTTGTATGAAGACAAAACGGATACAAAATTTAATAATGAAAAAGCTTGAGTAAAAGTAATGAACAAAAAAGGGAAATAAATGACATTAAAGCAAAAATGTTTCAGTTAAGGAAACATAAAAACAATGAAATAAATCGACGCAAACTCATACATGTTCCTTACAAACTGTTTTGCTCTTTGATCTGACTACTTTAGTTCTATAGAGTAGTATGTGAGTTTTGCAACACTAATTATAATTCATGAGTTTTCTATTTATACTAATCTAAAGATAACCTTCGGCAACAATTAGATCATAGAGATCTGACACGTATCCCCTACTTGGACCTTCGTGCTCTACCGTGTTTCCACACATCTTCCAGGATATAATTGCTGAGAGACGCAATATCATGTTGATAAATATGTCGATAACTGCTTCGACCTTCTCAACTTCCTTCAAGCATATATGATCCAGCGCTTGTTGAAACATCTTGTCACTTAACTGGTTTTTAAACTTAGAAAATTTATTATGTCTTGGACAGCTGCTGACCTCGTCGAATCCAACCATTTTGTTGAAAAAACTTTTTTTTGATATTTTTGACTTGTTTTTGAAGAGAGTGATCCTAATCGTGTGAATATGTTCTTGAGATTATTTCAAACCATAGTCACCATACTAGTCGAACTACTTTAGGCGACGTGGATGTTATGTTCCCGTCGAAACTTGTCAATAAATGCTCTTTGACACTTATAATTTTCTCAATGTAGCATTATTTGACTTTCCTTAGCTAAAATTTCCAAGCTAACACATAAATAAGTCAATTGATTAAGCCGAACATATATAAATCTCTAAAAAATCAATTATAAGCAAAATAAAAAGTGATGGTTCATATCATCAAAATTCAATATTTACTCAGAAATGCCATGCTAAAAGTGTATCAGCACTTAAGATGAATTTGAGACTGAGAGCCTCTAGCTTCTCTTTCTAATATACATTGAAATATGAATGGTTAAGTTAACTTAGTTGGGTTGGGTCAAAGCTAACTATAGTTGCAAGGGTCTAGTTACAGATATATAGTGTTTATAATACAATCTCATAAGTACATATATAATGATGTTTATGCCAATTATATATGGTTTTTATAATATATGAAGAAAAATAATTTGATCTTTTATTGATATTTATTAAGTTATTGTTTACAATGTCTATAGTTGGCCTTGCCTCCTACCATAATGAAGTCTAGTTTCGTTCCAAAAGATTAGAAAACTATTTTTCTTGTATGGGGAGAAAACATTACGCCTGTTTTCTAATAAATTAAAGGTTTAAA